TTTAAAATAACGTCACAGTCTGATGCGCACGGTCTAATATATAGTTTAAAATAACGTCACAATAATTACCTCAGTATTATAATTACCTCTTATAATATAACTAGCTTCTAGAGGGAATCAAAAGATAGTTTATTGGGTCGTTAAAATATTTTCCTTCTTGAGGTTATTTTTAAATCCAAAGTAGGAAGTCGAACATGACCTTCACGCATCAAAAAATTCTGAGCGAATCACTAACGTCATGAAAAGTATAAATATTTAATAACTACAATACCTAAACTTTACGAAACTTTTACTTGTGGAAAGGTTAATYATGATGAGTGAAAAAAATGGGTGTTTCAGGAAGTTAGTTTAAAACAACATATTTGTGCCAACGTTCAGATTTTTTCTTTGAACGTCATAGTACGGTTGGTTGTCTCGTGTCATTTTGCCACTTAATTATTTTTCATCTTAATTCTGTTTATTTAAGTTACATTGGTGTGTTAGTGTGTCGCATTCATATCCTTTGGTACGGTGGCTTTGATACCCGGATAGTGGAAGGGGATCGATTTTGTAAACTTTATGTTTTAGATTAAGGTTTTGGTAAACAACTTTGCATGCAAAATAAAGAATGTGCGCAGTAGAATTTTCCAGATTTCAGTCTTGCATGAAAAAGTTGTAGCTTGAGATTTTCAGTCTTTCTCGAGATTTTATTATTTTTATGAATAGAAAGACCTGCCGACATTTGGCATTTTAATTTATAAAAATAGTTTCTTTCTAGTAATATCAAGTTAAACGGAAGAGAGATCTTGACCTCCCTAACTCTGTTATTTTGATTTTTACTGACCCTAATGTAAAAGAGAGCTGAAAACATCTCACGAAGCGGCAAGACCTTGGACTTGCAGACAGCAACCGTATATCTAACCAAAAAAGCAAACAAAACACACTGCACTACCTTGGCCTTGACATAAGCTCGTAAACAATAAACAAGAGATCTTTATGTCAAATGAGTTCAATCTTCCGTCAAAAGTCAAACAAAAGTTTTTGTCAACCAAGGTCTTCAAAATCTTTAGTAAACTTTATTTCAAACGCGACTTCACTGAAGCCAAACAGCATTGCATGTAATCTTATTGACTTTGAAGATTTCATGCATTTAACTAATGTTACACAATGTGGATGTCTGGATCACTTAGTTTTAAATGCGATTTAATTGGCATTGAGAGAAATCGCTAATGACCTTGACTGTTTCTGACCTTGGTCGAAATCAGATAATCACTTTTTACCTGATACGCAAGACTGACAATTGACTTCAAGTAACGAATGTGAAGGGCTGTTGTCAGTATTTAAAAGGTCTGGACCACCCCAGTTATCACTTCATACGACTAACCGCTACAGACGCACCAATGTTGCTCTCTACAAACCTTGCAGACGCGATGGAAGGAACAGATTCCAAGAGTGCCGTCTATGACTTCATCTCTGGGAACACAACTTTATTAAATTGCGTGCTTCTACTTCTGACCGTTCTAGTGTTGTATCTTTTATACGAGATAAACAAGTCTCCGAGTCGTGCACCTCCCACCATATGGGGCTTGCCATTAATCGGTAACCTTCTTCAACTTGGTCCAGCTCCTCATTTGGGACTCACCAAGATTGGCAAAAACCTTGGAGAAGTTTTTTCTCTTCGGCTTGGTTCTTGGGACGTTTTGGTCATCAACAGTCTCAACGCAGCCAAGGACGCATTTGTCGAAAATTCAGCACACTTTTCTAGCCGTCCACCATTCGATTCCCTGCGTTTAGGTGGCGCTCATTTGTACTCTGTTTCTTTTGGAGACTACAATCCACTACAGGTAAGAACTTATCTAGTATTTTCCTTGGTGAAAAGCTCTATGATATCTGCTTCAACGCATATAAACTGGAAAGAGTTTTGGTTAACAATGACTGAGTTGTATTCTATATGTCATCGCGAAAAATAGGCGTAAAAGGTTGTTGCATGAAGTCTTTTTATCTTGCAACGATAAAACGAATGGCCTCTTAGAGAAACAGAATGTTATTAGCGCAAACCAATCTTAGACAAAAGATAGAAAATGCAGTAAGACTTTGTGACACAAACGAGGAAAACCATTCTTTGGAACAATTGTTAGCGCACAAGTTTTGCAAACATTAGCCAAGTCAAGCATTTTAGAAGTCATAACTTTAGTTCCGTATCACGATGTTTGGGGTTGCAAGCTTTTTGCAGTGTCATTGTCATTAGTTAACTTTTCCTTGCTCTAAATTCGAAGCAAAACAAACAATTATTTTTCCTCTGTCTCTACAGATTCAGAGAAAGAAAGCATTATTAAAGGTTTTCCACCAAGCAATCTTGACAAATCCCGACCACTTGAATCACATTCTCTTGCTAGAGACAGCCCGCATGAAAAAACGACTCCAAGAAACACAAGCCTCTCTCTTTGATCCAAGAGAAACCTTGAAACTGGTTGTGAGTCGCTTGGTGTTTCGCCTTACTTTTGGTGGTCCTGTTGGCGAGGAGGAAGAGAATGGCTTGACGAACCTTTTCGAGCAAGCTCGAAAATTCCAAAAGGAAGCCAATATTGGAATTCTGGCAGACTTTATGCCGTGGCTTAGGTTTGCGCTCAAAGGACCAGTTTCTAAGGTATGTCATACCACTACTTTTCATCACCAGAAATTCTTTGCTTAAGGACCTCGGTTTTATTTTAAAACTACACAAGTCATTATTTAAGCATTAAAAAGTGGAAAATATCAAGAGGAAAGTCTAATAAATTTAATTGTACCACTGGCTTAACACTCTAAATGTTAAGTAAATTGCAGCTCGAGTCATTGTGGTACTTGAGAATATGTACAGTACAGCTAGCTAGTCATTATTAGCACCTTCTTCTCCGCTCAAAAACAAAAAACATTTTCTTAAACAAAGCCAGGGAATGCGAGTAACTTTATTTTAAATTTTCTCTTAATTTAGTAAAGGCTCAGTACATGTATTCATTATTCAATCAAGATTCAGAATAAGTTGTCAAGAACTAGTCAGATCAAACTTGCAATCTGGTTGTAGTTTTTTGTGCTCGTAAAATAGCTTCCTGGAAGAGAAGCTCCTTCAATTCTATATTATATTTAGCAGCCAAGTTACTGCAACAAACTTAAACTTGTAGACCTCTCAGAGTTTTTTGATACAATTGAAGAAATTGATGTAAGAAAAGATTTTAGCCACATCTTGTTTTAGAAGTACAAAACCATACTAAAAACATCTGCAAAACTTTTTATCGATTGTATTTGATTTGTATATCAAACTGAAATTTATAAACTAAGCCCATTTTGGTATTTCTTTTTTTAGATGGTAAACACAGTGGCAGTTCTAGTGGGTTTCGTACGAAAGTCCTACAGACAACGGAAAGAAAATTACAAGTCTGAAGATGCAGAATTTTGCGTAGCACGAGCCATAACAGCATACGTTGCTTCGGAGAGGCGACAGTTAGCGAAGAAAACTAAAGGAAAGTCTTCCAGATTAACAACTTTGGGAGAAGAAACTGCAAGACAAGGCGGCAAAGTTGATGCTAGTTTAGGAAAAGAGGAAGAACGGCCTGAAGATTTAGAGCGAAGAGAAGAAGAAGAAGAAGAAGATGAAGATGATGCCATTGAAAATCAAGTGGTGACCATGTTGTCTCCTGATGTAATCGGCGCTGGAACTGAGAACATAGCATCTACTTTCTCCTGGGCTTTGGCCTTCATATCAAGCTACGAGGAACTTCAAAGAGACCTTCACGACGAGATAGACACAGTCATTGGCAAGAATCGTGAGCCCAGAATCCAAGACAAGCAGCGAATGCCTCTGATGCAAGCAACAATCTTGGAAACTTTGCGACTGTCCTCAGCCGTCCCAATGGGTCTTCCACACTACTGTATCGAGGACAGTGTTGTCAAGGGTTACACCGTAGCCAAGGGAACCATCGTTTTGACAAACATCTGGGGTATCAACCACGATGACCGTCACTTCAGTCATCCTTATTGTTTTGAGCCATACAGGTTTTTGGATGCCAGTGGAAACCTCAGAGGAGATCGGTGCAGTTTAGCCATGACGTTCAATATTGGGCCACGCAGTTGTGCAGGGAATGCAGTTACTAAGACTGTGCTGTTTTTCTTGATTGCAAGCGTTTTACAGAAGTTTGAGGTTCGTTCTACTGAAGATCTCACCACTTTGGAGGCAATGCCAGGACCAGTGCGCTCTCCAGAAGCATTTCAATTACGGTTCTGTCCTCGTGAATAGTGCAGCATTGCTATGATCAACAACTTGAGACACGAATAAAACAAATAGATGAAACTTGGCTGAATGGAAATGGATGGAAAAATATGTGAATTAAAACAAAACAAAACAAAACAAACAAAAAGAAAACGAATGGAGGAAGATGAATGGAAAAGGGATGTAATCAGTGAGTAGAAAATAAAAGGACAGATTCTCATGCAAACTTCAAATGAAGTTTGGAAGAAGAGCACTTATAATATGAACTTCTGATGAGGAAACATCAGTAAGCCAAACTTTTCTGCGCATTTGAACGAACGCATTAATGAAAAAAAGCTGAATTTAATGTACTATGCTTTTTAATAACGTTTATTGGTAGAGATGACTTTCTTTTAAAAATGCTTTTTACAAGACATGACAGTGTAATGCTCAGTTATTTTTTAAAGTGACTTCAATTGATTACAAGTCTATTAGTTAGAAGACAAGAAATATTTTATTCCAGTAATTGGTCCAATTGACCATGGTGTTCTTGACTATAAGTTTTTATGAAAACCTTGTACAGCATCGCACAACTAAGCAATTTCTTTAAGAAAATGCACCAAATTGCATTTTGGCGTCAATATTTTACACCAGATATTTTTTAGTTTTCTTGAGAAACGAGAATAATACATTGATGTCACGTGAATATTTCCGCTAATTACATCACGTGGCAAGTCCAAAATGGCGTAAACATGACACGTGACTTTTTAAAAGGCAATTTCCTGGGACCTGAGAACGAGGTTGTCGATCAGCCAATTACAAAGACAACAAGGGACAACAAGTGATATTTTTATGACGTCATTATGCAAAGCTTATATTGGGAAAGTATACATAACATTAGAAGCATCAACCAACGTTTGTGTCACAAACACTCACATTCTATTTCTATATAAATAATATAAATATCACCATTGTAATGTTTTACATTACATCTTCTACTTCTGTTGGCTATACTACACACCTATTATTCCACAAATAAATATTTATAATCATGAAGTTATTTGAAATGTTTTCGCACAGGGGCTTCAAATGAGGCAGATATATATGAGAACAAAGCGCACGAAAAGTCTCACTTTACAATTACTATTTTGCGCTCTCCGATATATTTTAAAGACATTCTAATGCGTTGGGCTTCCTGTGGTCCTTGACATCTTATCACACGCTTCAATCTCCCGCCAATTCACTCATTATGTGTGCACACTTTGTCGATTCGTGCAAACGCCGTTATTATATAAAATCGTAACGAAAGGATACTATTAGTAATTTCAAAAGTATTCAGTAACGCAAGTCTAACGGTCACGCATTGTCAAAGACGTTTTCATGGTAAATCACCAAGAGATTGGGAAAATTATTTACAAAAACAATGGTGAACCATTAACTGTTATGGCAAATCGGACCGTTTACCTGTTGTATAGCTCGCTATCAATAGGTCTCTTGTGAAATTCATACCAGCTGAATGGCAAATTTTCTAGGGAAGTGTACATGGATGTTTGCGCGGATGATTGATCAATACCAAACAATAGAATACTCTTTTGTTGATAGCACATGACGGGCAGTGTTTGCCTAGGCTGATATTGATAGCATGCAATAAATTCTTTACTTTTTTTCCTGCTAAGCGCTCTATTTAAAGTCTAATTGAAACCTCTGTTTCCTTTTATTGTTTAGATCCTATTCTTGTTCCTAAGGCCTGCAACTTTTTTTTGCGTTCCGCTTACAGAGAGTGTTTTTTTTTCTAAACGGTGACTAGGATCAATGCAAGCTCTAGGAACAAAAATGCGGCATTTATTTGTATACATATGAGTGCGCATGTCATATATGAAACATCCTTTTCAACACCATAACCCCTGTTGCTATGCCATTCTCTCCACGAAGCATCTTACTATACTTACTGRCCGCCTTGTATGTATCTTCTTGACAGACTGTTTTCATTGCGTTAGTAAAGGCAGTGACAGTCAACGACCTTGGATGTCCTACCGACTCGCCTACGCCCATCCACGCTACCTTATCGCCCCAATATGACTGGTCAAACATGAAGGGACAGATAATTTGAGGGACCGAGGCGCGGATAGCGGAGGCAACGGTACCGCTTCCTCCATGGTGGACAACTGCTAGGCAGTGAGGGAAGAGTCTGGTGTGTGATACGGGTTGCGTGATGCAGTAGATGTTGCAGTTCATTACATTCTTATAGAGCATTTCCCATGCTTTGAGCAGCGCTGAGTTCGGCTCCACGTGTAGCAAGGCTTTGACGTCACACTCAAGAAGACCTTCAAGAAAAAAAGGCATTAGATATATATATATCTCATTTGTTCACACATTCATCCATTTATTCCTTCTTTCTTTCTTCCTTCCTTCCTTCCTTCCTTCCTTCAATCCTTCCTTCCTTCCTTCCTTCCTTCCTTC